AAAAATTAACCTGGGTATTCACACAAACACTTCCCCATTTTAGCCTAACATTTTTAAAAAAACATAACCACCTGAAGCAAGGATTTTACACTCATCTCTGAAAATAATTCATTTCAAAGAATGCTGTGAAGAATTAAGGTTTAGTGATATCAGGTGATCAACCCTTAAACCAGAAGTACAAAATTCTCAAGTATAGGAATTTCAAAATGTTGGATCTGGTTTGCATTAGATTAACTAGTGTTTTTGTGTTGGGACCATTCTTGAGTGGCTGCCTCTGACACGTTACTTTAGCTTGAAGGTTTTCTTCTGACAGCAAAGAGCTTCCATTAACCTTGATTCTGAAAGGTCAAACAGCAATACCAATTTATAGGGTTCTTTGAGCTTTCAAAAACATTTAGCCAAAAAATGATTGATAATAATGTTGAAAGTGGCAGAAAGCTAATGAAAAATAAATGTGACAGATAACAAAGATGATTTGAGGAATGTCACCAACATTGTTAATTTCATTTATTTTATGGGATTTTTAAGCATTTGGATGAAGTAATTCTATTAAATATGATTTCAACAATATTTTCTTATATTATCATACCTGAATTTTTGATATTACTTTTAAATTTCCACTGAACGACCAACATGTCTACAGTCTATTTTACTTATGTATTTCCTATAAAGGGAGACAGTTTGGTGTAGTGGTTAAGGCACCAGGCTAGGAACTGAGAGACCATGAGCTCTAGCCCCACCTTAGTTACAAAGCCAACTGGATCACCTCGGGCCAGTCACTCTCTCTCAGCCCTAGGAAGGAGGCACTGGCAAACCACTTCTGAAAAACCTTGCCCAGAAAACTGCAGGACTATTCCAGGCAGTTTCCAGGAGTCAAAAACTGACCTGAAAGCATCCCCCCCCCCACAAATTCCTATAAGGCATTTGATTACCAGCTCATTTCAGACAAGAGCAGGATTCTCCGGATTATTTACAGAACAAATACCACACTTAGTGTCAAGTTTATATAATTATTATTCAAGTAGTTTTTAAAATGTGCTTATAAGGGAAAGTCACAGCAGATGGCATCACATAAATGACCTCTAAGTTAAGGAAGGTAAGACTTGGTTATTACTTGGATAGAAGGTCAGCAGGAATTCCCAGTGCTGTAGATTATATTGGAAAGTGGAAAAAGCATCCTGAAAAAGGTCAGTACCAAACTATGTTCAACAGTCTACTTTTCACTTTTTTTTTTTTTTAAAGAACAGTTTGTTGTAATGGTAAGAATGGATTAGAAACTAGCGAACTGTGAGTTCTAGTCCTCACTTGGGCACAAAAACCAGATGGGTGACTTAGGGTCAGTCACTCTCCCTCAGCCCAACCCTCACAGGGTTGTTACAGTGGAGGAAACAGAAGGTAGGAGAATTATGTATACCACCTTGAGTTGTAAAAAATATAGGTGGGACCTAAATCTAATAATAACAACATAGACCTTTTCGCACATTCATCAGGTTTCAAGCTTGACTCCAGAGAGACTTTACTATCATGGAGAACACCCCTTTTTATATTGATTGCCTGCTTTGAAATTTAAAAAGTGATAAAATATTTTGAGATAATCTAATAACTTCATTGTTTCACTGTCAAAAGCTTGTGTGGTTTGTTGTTAGGAAGGCTGCATAAAGTAACCAAGAGCCCTTAGCTATAATCCAAGTGGGATGCAATACATGACTCTGTTGTTTCCTTGAGGTGGTAAAATGGTGAAATGAGACAGTAGATTCTGGAAGGGAAGTTGAGCCCTCATTCTTTGCAACCTTCTGCAGTATATCCCTTCAATATTCAGCTGAGTAAAAACTTAATGGCAACTTTTTTTTAACTTTTTTTTTTGAGGAGCTACCAATATTAGCTAAGTCTTGTTTATGCTATGTGGCACAGTTAATATTTCTCCATGGCTGGCTATATTTCATAACATCCTGTTAACAGGATATGGCTATTATACAAAATGATATAGTTTTTTCTCAAAGCACCAATCGTACAGCAGCAATGTGAAGGGTCAGAAGTGACACCACCACAAAAGTTGCCACACTGCTCTTATAATTGAAGAATCAGGGATAAGATAAAGGAAGAACTGGAGTTTTCAAACATTTTATGACCTACAGGTATATTAGTCAAGCCTTGTAAAATTATGTGCAATTGATTTTTTTTCTAAAGGACTGTTTGAATAAATAGACTTTCTACGTTAATGCCATTTCTTTGTGTTTGTATTTGAAAACACATAAGAAAGTCTTTTTGGCTGTACTGCATTACTTTTATGTACATAAATACATACTTTAAATACAACTTTTAAAGTGTACATTTGGAAACCTTTTTGCTATGACTACAGTGACCATACATGCTTTATTATAAAGGCCAGTCCTTTATTTAGAAAGTTGTCTATGATGATGATGATGATGATGATGTTTTGCTCTTTCCTTTCTAAAGCAAAGTTATAAACATTTTTTTCTCCTTATGAACTCTTTCAGGTGTGCTTCTATTTTAGTTTTGTCTTAATTTTTTCCCAAGAAAATATGGTCACCGTACCTATGACAGAAGTTTGATTATGAACTGCCTTTTCTTTTTCATAAGCAGCAGCAACTTACTAACTGCAAACAGATGCAAACAATCATTTTG